AAAAAAAAAAAAAAAAAAAAAAAAAAAAAAAAAAACCTAGCTTACCTTAAAGTTCCATTGCCTCCACAAAAATGAATATCATCGTCAACAATAGCATTAAAAATCTACTCTCAGGGCCAAGCGTGGTAGCTTATGCCTGTAATCCCAGCACTTTGGGAGGCTGAGGCAGATGGATCACTTGAGTTCGAGACCAGTTTGGCCAACACAGCGAAAACTCACCTCTACTAAAAAATACAAAAAACTACCTGGGGATGGTGCTGCATGCCTGTAATCCTAGCTACTTGGGAGGCTAAGGTAGGAGAATCGCTTGAAACCAGAAAGCGGAGGTTGCAGTGAGCAAACATCGTGACACTGAACTCCAGCCTGGGCAACAGAGCAAGACTCTGTCTCAAAAAACAAACAAACAAAAAACTGTTCTCACATAGAAAACGCTTGGGTTGTAAGAGAACTGTGGTGCCATCTTGTACGATCTCCTTACTTTACAGATAGGAACACAGGTCTGCAGAGTGGAGGTGACTTGCCTATGGTCACATTGGTGGTGACTAAACCCCACAATCATCTTCAGCAATGATGCTGGGCAACGATTCATGCCCAACAGCTGAATCCTTAAAAAAGCTTCTATGTGTGCCTTCTAGTTTCAGTGACAGTATCATAGTAACACAGTCCTCTCCCCTCCCTACCTCTACCCCCCAAAGTCCCTTCTCCCTCAAACTCTCAGCAGATGAAGAGCAACTACCCCGACCTCAGCTTTACTTTCTTCCCTACTTCCAAAAAGACATCATCAAGCAAGATCCATTTACACTAAAGCTTTATCATAAATGCAAGTTAATAATATTTGTTTTATAATTTTTCAATGTTTCATCTAGTTAGCAGAATTTAGTCTCAAAAAACCAAAACTCTTTTTTACAAAAGTCCTTATTAAAATATTAATATTTCTATATTCTTTAATAGAACATATCATGTTCTTGCTAATTAAAATTGTTGCTTTCATCTGCTGGAGGTTAGGAAACCAGCTTACCAGATAAGTTGAATGGGCTGAATGATCTAAGGCTAATGGCCTCTACTACTGAGACATTCATGGTTTTACGGCACTTGGAGCTCACCTGGAGGTCTTTTTCACTTATGTCTCACTTGACACTCATCTCTTGCTACAAATCAACTATGGTTCAACCATTATTATCTCATGCTAGAAATCAACTAACAATTTCAGTACTAGTCAGCAAGGTTTTCATGGTCTCCTGCTGTTTTCCTCTCTCCTTTCTTCTGTATGAAACACAGAGGTGTTTTCTCACTAATTTCCATGTCTTATAGCTCTAACTATTTAATTAATAACTCAAGTAATTAAAGTTCTGGAATCTTTAATACAACAACTCATCATTAATCCATAAGCCCTTGGCAACTTCCTGACTACCCTTCTGAAACTGTGCCATCTTATAATTATCACATGCATTTCTGATAGATTTATTGCTTCCGCCACAATAAAACTTCTTTTGTTTCAGATATCCATGAGGCTTAGTGCAGCTGCTCTTAGCAAATAATTGATCCTGAGGAATCCCATAAATTGTCTGGCCTCTGCTATGGCATACCCATACCAGCTACCAGAAAGAATCCATGTTCCTATTTGGTTTGCTTAGAGTCCTCCTCTGATACCTACCTGCTCTCCTTGAGGTCTTGGAAGCAGGAATCTACAGTTTTGAGTCTCAAACCTCTCTTTGAACGAGCAAAACGCATATAATTAATAACTTCATTTTGATGGTGCTCATTTAGGCCCAACTCTGCCTGAAAAAGAAAGAGGTAATTTAATTGTTAGTCTTGAAGATCTGATCAAAGAGCCAACAATGAAAATGCTTAAGATATCCTGTGGTCGGGACTGCTAGATGTCCATCAAATTCTATTCTTCCCTTCTTCCTGGATGCATGGCTGCCCAGCCAGATGACACTTCCTTGCCCTCCTTGCAGTCAAGTCACACTGCTGACTACTTCTCAGCAAGGAATGTTGTGATCTAGTTCCAAAGAACTGGTCTTAAGATATGGGGTGTACCTCTGCCACTGAAACCTGGAAGAGTTGGGGACTTGACTGAATCATGCAGACAACATCAATGCCCTATAGGCTGGGGGAACAGTGAGATGAGAGGGACCCATGTGTCTACCTCATGGAGTGGCACTGACCCTGTCACTGAGATAAGTGGTGAGATGGCTGTTAAGTGAGAGAGAAACTTCTGTATTCTTCAGGCCACTTAACCTTAAAGCAAAAAACAACTCTGTTACAGCAACTTAACCCTTACCCCATTAAATACAGCTTTAACAAGTATATTTGATTTGGAAAGAACCACAAATTGGTCTGTACTTTAAACCAAATGACAGCTTGACAGATATTTAAGAGGCAAGCCCAAGGAGGTAGGGCTAGCAGCCAAAGAATAGAGCAGGTCAGCTAAGAGCAAGGCATCAGCCATGTTAGTTGGATTTGTAATTAAGCTGCTGATGAGCTTTACAAAGCAGTTTAGGTAGCATAAGTCTTTAAGGTCTGGAAAACAGAATGGAGATAGCACGAGTAGAAAGGAAACAAAAGGGAAACCTATAAGGACTCAGGTGCAACAGGTTAGAGTCGCATATGCACCTGACTTATGGCTAACAAGACAGATTTCTATTACGCATTAAAAATAACTGACTACTTACATTAGAGACAATATTATCTCTTAAAGTCGCACATCAGTATGGGCAAGAATATCCCACAATTTAGAAATATCACAAAACAATGTCACAATTTGCTAAAAACAAATAAAGAACAAACACAGATTCTTAATCATTATTCATTGTCTATGGTATTAAATTTACACTCTTTACTCCTCAAAACCTCCTACTCTTTCTTACCCTGTTTCCCAGGACTCTACTAAATGAACACTCTACTTTAGCCCCACTAGTCTGCTCATCAGTCCTGAAACATGACTTTAAATTTCCTGCCTTAACTTTTGTTTATGTTACTCTGATCCTGAAGTATCGCATTCCTATTCAAGAATCTGAATCCTACTCGGTGGTGTGATGGTAAATATTTAACAGCAGGTTTTCTAGGTAGCGGGCCTGATGTGTAGCATTGCTGATTTCCATGCCATAAATACTTCCATCATGGCTGATTTCAAGCCACCAATATAATGTCACTGAATTAAGAGATGAGAAGAAATGCATACAGTTGGCTCTCACCAGCCACTACACACATGCTCCACCACATCACTGAATTCCTACCCACCCTTTAAAGCCTAACCTGTTTCACTTAATCTTTGACCCCTCCCAACATGCCCTCAGTAACCCTGCAGATATGCCTTCCTCCAAAAGCTGGCGTACATAATCTCTGCTACTTCTTTGGCACCATCACTGACTGATCACTACCTTCTATTACTGATTATCTTTTTTTTTTCAGGTCTTGCTCCTCCAATTAGATTATAAACTATGAGGGCATGAATCATTTCTTATGCTGCATAATACCTAGCATAGTGCCTTGTGCTAGCATGTAGCCAATTCCTACCTGTTCATTCCTTTCCCTCTTTTCAAGGGAAGTTAAGACTGTCCTGGGACCAAGAAGGAAAAATTATTCAAACCAAGAAGGGTAAATGACAGAAAAGTTCCTTTAAAATGGATGGGAATGAAGAAAGGGAGTAAAAGTGGACAGTTGAGTTCAAAAGGAAAAATAGCGTCAGCCTAGGAAATGGCTATTCACAAACCTTTACTTCCACACATATACTCTATGTATCTATCTCAAATCATTAGAGAGGAAATGGAATAGGTAGAGATGTATGGTATGATAGGAAAAGCCCAGATTAGAAACCAGGTTTAGGTCTAGCTATGCAACCATCTACCTTGGTAACAGTCTGTCACCAAGTCACTTAACCCCAATGACATTAGTTTTACTGCCTACTAAATGCAGTAGATACAATGATCCATCCTAAAATGGTTAGAAACAATGGTGTCCAAGTGGGGAAGTCAGAATTTGTTTGAATTTTGTTGCAGAAATATTCTGTTAATAATAATAAGAGCTGAAAACATATAGCAAGAAATCCTGCCAGAGCATTGCCAAGCTAATTTCTTGAAATTGTACCATAAATTGTGTACGTGTGTTTAGGGGGAAGGGGATAGAACAAGAGAGGGTAAGGTATTCAGAAATGGTTACCTGTTCTTAATCATGCCCACAAATCCATACAATCCATACACAGTTTAAGAGAAGTACAAGGAGGAAACTGTAATGATAAAAATGAGCACTGTTTAATAATACCTATCAGACACTGAATGCTTAATATTTTCATAGGTACTGTGCTATTTATTTTATATGCATTATCTTACTTAACATGTTAGCCTTGTGTAGTTATTATCTGTAATTTACTAATGAACCTGAGCCTGATTCCAAAGCCTCAGTTGTCAACTGATGGAAAGGAATGACAGAAGATAGAACAGGAAGAGGTATTTTTTTTTTTTTTTGATTTGTTTTCAACGTATTCTCCTGATATTTTAGGGAAATCAAGAGAATGAATGGACAGGCTCTAAACTCAAGAAGGGGAGGGAACAATCTATTTAGTTCACAGGTGTATTCTCAGCTTCCAGACAGTGCTTGGAACACAGTGTGGGCTAAAGAGAAATTTTGGTTGCTATTTCAGTAGCCATTTCAAGTGGTGCTCTCAACTCTGGTTTCATCCATTTTTCTGAACACTTCAGTGCTGTGCACTAAGTATGACTAGTATTTAATATGGCATGCTATATTCGCTGAAGAGATTAATGGTCTTTTTTGAGCAAGCCAAAACAAAGGAAATGTCACCCAAATTCCTAAGCTGTAAAATGGGGTGCTGGGATTCTTAAAGTCACTTCCACATCAGAAAGTTGGATTTCAATCACACAGAAAGCTGGACTCGTTCTCCCTTCTCCTCTGGTTAATGTGTGTGTGTAAACTTCGAGCTTCCTGAAATTGAGAATCCTGAGTTTGTGTTAACGTACGTGTGTGTGTGTGTGTGTGTGTGTGTGTGTAAACTTGGAGCTTCTTGAAAGTGAGAACCCTGCGTGTGTGTTAACGTGTGTGTGTGAACGTGGAGCCTCCTGAAATAGAGTGAGAAACAGGCGAGAGAAACGGAGCGACGCGGCGAAGCTGAGCTGCTAGGAAAAGGCTCCACACCCCAGAAGGACTTGGGCTGAGGTTAACAGAACCTCTCGCGCCTGGCGCAGCCTCCCTTTCTAAGTGAGCCTGAGGAGCGGGACCCCAAACCCAACGAGGCCACGTAATCACTCCGGGCCCACCCGCTCGGTGTCTCCAGCCCCGGCCGCGCTCTCTCCGGGGCGCGGTGCGGCGCCAGAGAGCCGTCTACTCACCATGGCGGCAGGCGGCTGGCGGTAGCCAGCAGCCTAAAGGAACGGGAGAGGCCAGGCGGTGCCCTGCCAAGCCTGCGATCGCCGAGGCTGTTTGGACCAGAGATGCGGAGGGAAGCTAGGTTGTTTAGAAGCCTCTGGTTGCTAACGGAAACTGAGACACGTGGACTGTAATTATGCATTTTCATTGGTTCTCAGGATCACGCGACAGAAAGTATTGCGTAACCGGTTGACTGCCACATGCGCATTGGCTTCCAGGGCCGGAAGTCCCACCCTTTCGTGTCACGTTCACTTTTGGGAGCCGACTGCGCTGAAGGTAGCAGGAGGGTTGCGCTGCCTGGAGTTGTTTGGGGACGCCAACGCGCTTGCGCGCGTTGGGTCGTCTGCTTATGGCCTGTTGGGAACTTCTTGTCCAGAACTTCCTGTGGCCTAGGCGACCCTAAGAACGCAATGGACATCCCAGACCTTTCAGCCGTCTCATGGGCCGCGGCCCAGACTTACTTTTTTCTTCAGGAGTTCCTACCTGAGCGTCAAGGTGGCTGAGACAGGCCAACATCACCAACGCGTGCAGCTTCTCAAATAGAGCTTCAAACGACCCCTCCCCACGATTCCACCCATTATTACTGTTGTTGTTATTATCTTCTCTTATATTGCCGGTTAAAAGTCTCTAGCAGCTTTTAATCATATTTTAAAAATGCAAAACGCATGCGTTTTCTCCAAGAGCAGTAAATTTCAAAAGGTTCCATATGCCTGGAACTACAGCTTGTTGAACAAATTCCTGGGCCTCATCTCCAGCAATTCTGATTCACAAGTGTAGCTTGGGTCCTTGGAATTTGCACTTTTTACCGACGTTCCTGGAGTGATCACAGATCAGGACCAAATGCTAGCTTGGAAGGACAAGTGTAGGATGAGATCGATTATTGCAAATACCAGGGGCTCAGAGTCCTTCACTCAGGTGATCCAGCAGTGATGTGTAGGCATTTGCCTACAGAAGGATCTCGAGCTTTGGGGACAAGAACAGTAAGCAAGGTTCTCCTATGTGTCACATGGAGCACTCCAACACATGGAAGGATGGCCTGGAGGCAGTGGCATGTTTATGTCCAACTTCACCTTTGGCTAGGCTCCCTACCCTTGGCACTGCAATGGCATTTGGGTAAGATCCCTGTCTTCTTGCAAGATCCATAAGGGCAGATTCTCTTAACCCTGCATAATAACCCCTTCCAAGCTTAAACTTCCGCTTTACCATCCCACCTCCACATTTCTGTTCAGTGAGTGAGTGGATGTTGAATTTGATAACAATGGTTGCCATTATTTAGTGTCTATAATGAGCTATTAATAGACACATTCCCTTCCAGTAGTTAGTCCTCATAATATTTGGTTCTTTCCTCTGTAGACATTCACTGTGTTCACGTAGTGAGAAGGTAACTTCACAAGGTGTTGTGGGTGAGAGATAAAGAAGTTCATAAAAACTTTTATGACTGGTCAGTAAAAGAAGTTGTTCATCAGTTCACTGGTCAGTAAACAAAGCTGTTAATGAGTTCACTGGTCAGTATACAAAGTTGTTCATCGGTTCACATTGCTTGAAAAGCTCATTTATCTTCTCACAGGTCAACTCCTGTGCTGCGAAGCGTTATTAATTCAGGGGAACCAAAGGAGTGGGTGTATAATGCAAATATTACATTTGTGGCTTGGGGATTTTTTAAGTTGTTCTGGCAAAACTCCATCAGCTAGTTATTGTAATTGAAAATTCTACTTTAATCTAAAATATTCCATACCAAGGAGGTTATCACCATTAGCCAATCTACCCAGCAGAGTTGAATGTTGTTACATAAGCTGTCTAAATATTGTCAACAAATGTGAACATGTATTTTTGGTCTTAAAGTGATGAATTGGGCTCATGAAAAGGCTGAACTTGGACTTTAAATTGTTTACTAGTGCAGGTTGGTCACCAAAGCAAATGATTTGAGCTGTGAAGAAGAACAGCTCCACCCTGCTTTACTAGTGATCTTCTTAGGCTCTGTGTTTTTATTTTTTTAATTGCTATGACAGTTTTTTAAAATGTATGTGTGTGTGTGAGTGAGTGTATGTGTGTGTGTAAATTTGGAGTGAGGCACACAAGTCCATTTTGTACCTTTTAGCAGAGTTCAACCTAAATAAAAATGAAGATAAATTCTTTTTATATTATTATGAAATGAGACTCTTATGACTTTATAAGTTACCAGTCATAATACTAAGACCACCAATTTCTGAGTGTTTGCAACCTAGATTTGGCAAAGGAGGAATGGGAAGCTCCTGCCACTATTTACAGAACCCCTGTTGTTTGCAAGGTTCTGCGGCCATGATAGCAAGTCTGCGGAAATTATCTGAGGGGGAAATCTGAGGGAAGAAGTAGAGGGTCTCAGAAAGCCCCAGCTGCCCCCAAACTATAAATTTTGGGGGATGTAGGAGGACTAAGGTGAGGTTTTACTTAAGTAGAAAGAGGAAATGAAGAAAATGATTAATATATATATATATATAGGTGATATACAGAAAATGTAAAAATCTTGAAGGTTATATGGGAAAGAAAAGTTTGAGAAATATGCACTGGAAGTAGGCGGAAGATAGGGGAAATCATTATAGGAGATTATTTTTAAGAAGGCAAGATCTTTGCAGCATGGCTTCTTGCACGAAGTTCTACCATGCAGGTTCTCTTCAACTTCCCCATCTTGCCCCATCTTGGCTACTGAGAAAGTACCCAAGACCCTATAGAAGAGAAAAGCCCAGATTAAAGGGCTCTTTACAGGAGATATGGCATTTGAGTAGGTCTGCAGTAGGCAAGAGGCTATTTTCAGTTGCTTTCAAAACACCCTAGTGACCTGCAGAGTATTGGAGAGTGCTGACAGATTAGTGGAATCACTATCACATGCATTAAAGGAGGTCAAGCAAGGAAGTGGTTCACCATAAAATACGACTCCCTCTAAGAATGTGCGGATGTTGGCAATTACGTAGCCCAAATTAGAGATTAGTTTCTCTGATAAATTTTAATGCATTACCAACACCCCAAAGGGAACAAACACCAAAATCATCAAAACCTGAAGCCTACCTCAAAAAATGTTAAGAATTGGTTGTAGGGAACGCCTTCTTGTAGAGTACAAGAAAAAAATTTATTGTAAAGATGATGATATGCACCAAATCCTCTTTCCATACTCCCTTATGCGTAAACATTTGAGTTAAACCCACAGCTCAGTCTGTGTATTCAGCAGCTGTTCATGGGAAGCTGGCTGCTCACAAGACACAATGGGGAAGGGAACAATGAACAAGATGGGTTGATGTCTTTCAAAAATGGCCTTATAATCAAGTCAAGGGAAAATGAAAGCTTGCAGAGTAATTTCAAAGCAGACAGTAAGTAGTGGGGCAGTTCAGAGAGGGTGCGAGATAGTTCACTTCTGTTGAGGCTAGAGAGGAGAGATTCAGAAAAGTCTTCCAGAAGGCAGTGGAATTGGCTAGATTTTAACAGGTGTGTGGAAAAGTTGTGGGTGAGTGTGATGATTGTGAAATTGAGAGTTGTCCTGAACAGAGAACCAGAATTTTCATCAGGTGCTGCAGTAGAAATGTCCAGAAATGTACATTTAGATTTATTATTATTACAAGTGGCAAATTACAAAAAGAGATATACTGACAGCCTGTACTAGGATGGAGTACCTTTAAGAGTGTCTTATTCAGAAATGTGGGTCCTCCTAGATCTGTGGTCTTCATTAAATGTTTCCCCAGACTGCTGGCAATATAAAGGTGTTAACCAATTGCATCTTTTCTTAGAAATGAAAACAAAAAATTAAATTTGCTCAGGAAGTTTTGCCAACAAAGCTGGGGCTGTGTAGTCCTATTGGAAGAGCTGAATAGCGTAGTGCAAGCTGTTCATGACTGGAAGTTTTCTCAATGAGACAGATAAATAATACATGAAAAACAAAGTGAACTCAAATGGAAATGTCATTCTTAGCCAGTTTATATAAGTTTGTCTTCCCCACTACTATATTACAAGCTCCTTGAAGCAAGAAGTATTTATGATATAATAACAGTATGGCTGGGCCATAATAAGCTCTGAGCTATGCTTGCAGAATTGAATTGGAGATAAACAGGAACATTGCAACAAACATTTGTGAGTTCCTGCTGGTTCCAGATAGTGTGTTTGTGGGTTGGTTTTGGCCCTGGACACGCCCTCTCTTGGAAAGCATATCATAAGGCAGCAGACATATTCAGCTATCCCTATTTCCCATGTTAAATGTAACTTTGAGGTGATTTATATAACTTCTGTGTGAGTGTTTGAGAATGAATCATAGTTCTCATGATTTAACCCTTATGTTTTTATGTAACTAATGATTTAATTCTAGTTGACTTAATGCTACATTTTGAAGACATCCCATAAAACAATTATTAATTTATACTTTGTGATTTCTTTTTATATTTTGAGTCCAAGCATTTACAGTTGATCCTTGAACAACACAAGGGATAGTGGTGCCAACCTCATGCACAGACAAAATTCCACATATAACTTTTGACTCCCCCAAAACTGAACTACTAATATCCTACTATTGACTGGAAACCTTACCAATAACATAAATCATGAGCATATATTATGCATTATGTGTATTATATACTATATTCTTTCTATAAAGTAAGCTAGAGAAAGGAAAATATTAGAAAATCATAAGGAAGAGAAAATATATTTACTATTCATTAAGTGGAAGTGGATCATCATAAAAGTCTTCATTTTGAGTAGGTTGAGGAGGAGGAGGAGGAGGAGGAGAGATTGGTCTTGCTGTCTCGGGGTGGCAGAGGAGAAAGAGTTGGAGGAGGTGGAAGGGGAGTCAAGAGAGAAAGGCGCACTCAGTGTGACTTTATGGAAATACATAGCAATTTTCGTCTCACTTTTTCTTTTTCATTTATCTAAAAATGTTTCTATGTGGTACCAGTCCTTCTTTCACCATTTGCTTGTTTCAGTGCCTGTATAATAGAAGAGTCCATGTCATAAAATAAGTCAAAATCAGTCTTGAATAATTGAAACCCTTCTTCCAGATTGTCTAATATCAGTGTGTTTTCCGACACTACGTCTACGTCTTTCTCATCTTTTGGCACTGGTTTGGAAGCACTCATCTCCATCAGGTTGTGTTCAGGTAATTCCTCTAGTGTCGTGTCTATTAGCTCTTA